GGATACATATGTATCTATCTATATCATATTATCCTATATTTTCTGTCGTAAATTTTATAAGTTGTTCAAAGCCCCTACTATCTAGACCCGGTAGGAATTATTATCCTGTCCAAAAATAACCGTATTTCTAACAACAGCCTAGTCGCCGAGGCCATGCTGTAATACTAAACAACCGGGTTTCCCGTACCTCGAACCAGCGCCCCTATTCTGATCATGCTATGTAGTTAGCAAACTAGTTACTAGCCACAGAGCCTGAAAAGGGTATCGATGAAGGGTCTGTCGCAAACTGGACCAGACCGTGCCATAGATGTAGTTTAAGTCACTGATAACGGAATTTCTAATAAGTACATTGACAATTTTATTTAATTTTAGATTCAATATAGAACGAAGACACAATACTTTTCACTGGGTTAAAACTGTGATCTCCTAGGCTATGCAAGATTTGATTCTGTGACAAAGGAACAAGGAGCGTTTGATAAATTATACCCTTATGTATAGAGTATGTCAGAAGTACACCTTAGGTGAAGTTGCAAATCAAAAGACTCGGGGTATTCAACTCAAAAGTAGTAAAAAGTAGAGGAAAATCAAAGTGCAATGTCCGAGTGGAACCCTTCAAATGTTCTCTGTAGAATGTGGAAGATCGGCGGATTTACCTCGGCCCCTCTTTGAAACAGACCTCATTAAAAGGAATCCAGTGAATAGAACTCAAAATTTCCACAAATCTCTCATATTCAAGAATGTCGTGAGTGCCCATGTACACTCACAAGAAAAGAAAACCCCAGACTAACCCTCACAGTGCCCTTTTGACAACTCTCAGCCTCCGCGCTGCCCCTGGCCAGGCACCCGCGAACCACGCATCAGCCTTGCTGATGGTGAACTGGTTCTTCGCGTATATTTTGTCGAGCCCACGCGGCGCAAAGATCCGTTTGGGTCTCGATCACAATGCCAACCCACGTGAGGACTTGACTACGTACGGCGAGGCGGCCGTGCAGTCGGGGAAGATTACCCGTCGCGCCCTGGACAAGCTCAAACGACAGACGTCGGCGCACGCCAACGCGCAGGAGGGATATACTTTGTTTGTTGCGGCGAGTATGTGGAATTTAATCTCTTTTTCCCTCCTTTTTTCCCTTTTTCTTGGGCTTATGGTCAAATTGCTGCACTGTACTGACCTTATCTAGTCCTCGTCTCCTTGTACGCCGGTCTCCCCAACGAGACTATCAACACCGTCGGTATTTGGTATTCAGTTTCCCGTGTCGCATACCACCTCTTCTACTGCAACATCGAATCTCACAATTTGAGCTTTCTGCGCTCAGCGGCTTGGTGGTCTGGCAACATCAGCTGTCTTTATGCGCTGGTGCAGGCTAGCAAGAAGTTGTAAAGTAGACGGAGGCGCTTTTCCATTGGCCTGTGATCTATGATATAGATGACCTGAACAATACAATACAATTGCATGTATTATCCAGCCACTGGGCTAAGATGACAGTCCAGATAAACTTTGGAAGATGGTGTGACTAGGCGCTATAGACGCCCTCTGCCACATCTACCAGGACAGGTTGAGGAATATGCTAAGGGTATCACATGAAGGTAAAGATACGAGGGAGCTGTCAAAAAAATTCTAAAACGAATTGCCACGGGACAACTCCATCCAAAACTGGGCGTCAGCCACCTTGATAAACACAATATCCAACGCAAATAAATCCCCGGAAGGAATGAGGTCTTGGAAGTCCTTCATGCCTGGAAAAACTGCAACGAGATCACTATGAAGCCGTTGCATGAAGAACTTTTCGGCTGATTGGTGGAAGAACCCCACCCTCCAGGCATAGATCAGCCCCAGACGGGGGAATGAATCCCGGCCATAACGATGAATCAGACGGTTTCGAATCAGATCCAACACAAGCTCGCTAGGCTCGTCCCGACAGTCTCTCCGCATCCCCCCGCTAATCAATACCCTTGGCGAAATGCGGAGAAATGACTCCATTTACTGTCTATACACAACACCGCTAACTGGCTGTATTTCCGCATTGCACACTTCCTGTCGATCATACCAGCCTGCAATGGAATTGTTTTTTACAGGCGGAGAAATCTCTTTCCTCTGCCCGTGCGGTTCCCGGACATTGCTAATCTGGGGAAAGACATGAGCTCCATTTGCTAGGGCCGATATCCCGGGGTATTCTTATAAATTAGCAGGATTGCCTGCTACGTCTCCTAAGGATCAACCGACAGCAGTATCAATTGATTGAATTGACCTCGCTATAATGAAGTTCCTCGCTATCAGTGCGCTCCTGCTCAGCACAATTAGTGCTCTTGCGACAGAGCATGTTATCAAAGGCGCCCAGATTATCCCGGCCAGCGATAAGGCGGGTCTGAAGAAGATTGGCGCTCATGGACATCATAAGCACCGTGACCGTCGGACGGTGACAATTCGGTCATCGAAGCACGACACCGACGATATTTCGGATGACTTCCTTTGGGGAATTAAGGCTGCCAATCACGGCGGCAGACTTCTCTTGCAAAAGGGGAAGACCTATGTCATTGGCAAGAAGCTTGACCTCAGCTTCTTGGATGATATCGAGGTGCAGCTGGAGGGTGAAGTGAAGGTATATACCTAGGTAGTCCCAAGAATGTGACTTATTGAACCGCCCTGACATGAACAGTTCACCGACGATATCGACTACTGGCAAGCAAACCACTTCTACTACTCTTTCCAGAGGTCTATCGCTTTTTGGGTCTGGGGTGGTCAGGATATCAAGATCTTTGGAAAGGGTACTCTCAATGGTAATGGCCAGGAGTGGTACAATGCCTTTGCTGGCATGGAAATTCTGGTGAGCGTAGTATTCTAAAGGAGTTGGGAATGACTTGCGTTAATGGATAATTCCAGGACCCGGATAACGTCTTCTACCGTCCCATTCTATTTATGACTGACAACGCTACCCGCGTGTCTGTCGAGGGTATCACCCAACTCAACTCACCCTGCTGGACCAACTTCTTTGTCCGTACCAAGGATGTCTCTTTCGATGATGTCTTTATCAATGCCTTTTCCACCAACGCATCTGTAAGTCCTGCATCTGGTTACATTGCCAATTAAATCTAACCACCCTTCTCAGGCTCTGCCCAAGAACACCGATGGATTTGACTCCCTCAACGTGGACGGTCTCAGTGTGACCAACACTCGTGTCGATATCGGCGATGACTGCTTCTCCCCTAAGCCCAACACCACCAACATTTTCGTGCAGAACTTGTGGTGTAACAATACCCACGGTGTCAGCATGGGAAGTATTGGACAGTACTCGGGAGTTGAGGACATTATTGAGAATGCCTGGATCGAGAACGTGACTCTGTTGAATGGACAGGTAAGATGCCTCTCCCGTAGTTTGACTTCGAGCTATCCTAATCCGGATTCAAGAACGGCGTCCGTCTCAAGGCCTGGGCTGGACCGGACATCGGCTTTGGCCGCATCAACAACGTCACGTACAAGGACGTCCACATCGAAAACACCGACGCCCCTATCGTGTTGGACCAGTGTTACTTCAACATCAACGCCACCACCTGTGCCAAGTACCCGTCATCAGTCAACTTCACCAACATTAACTTCGAGAACATCTATGGCACTTCGTCGGGCAAGAATGGCAAGGTTATCGGTGACTTGACTTGCTCGCCCAATGCTGTGTGCTCGGGTATCCATCTCTCTGCTATCGATATCACTAGCCCCGCTGGTGGTCCTCCCGTCGTGACCTGCGATGGAATTGATGGAGATGTTGGTGTGGAGTGTCAGTCGAGCTCGGCTTAGATGGTTCAGTCTGACGTTGAGAAGAATAGCTAGTCTATGGAAATAGTCATAGATCAAAACTGCCAAGTGCATCATGACCAGAAGAAAAAATGGAACGAAATGTTTTTAACTTAATAGGAAGTGTAGTCCGTGTATATGTCCGAGGATACACCTGGGCAGTTTCTACTCTAGTCTGGGTGAGCGACCTGAGTTGCTGCCTGATTATTCAGGCTAGTACTGCTTGTGTGCCTGTTTGCCTGTGGGTAACGTATTTCACAAGCGAGTGGCCATCTCCAAAACACATAGTAAATGCGATAAATTACAACTTGATATCCCAACAACGGGTGTCTATAGGGACTTTTCATTTTAGCCTACTAGTTTTCATATGATATCTAGTCTCTTTAGGGAGTCTTAAGAGACTTAATGACTTAGTGACTAAGATATATATATTTCTGCAGTTCAGAGATATATTTTTCGATACCAGAACAATGCAAGTTCTTGATTTATTTGAAAATTAATATATGACACTAAGAATGCTTATCGATTCCTATCCAGCAGCAGTAAAAATTAAATTAAGTTGTGGTGGTTGAAATATAAAGTTGCATTTACTATGTGTTTTGGAGATGGCCACTCGCTTGTAGTGGCCACTCGCTTGTGAAATACGTTAGATAGCTTCTCTCTCTCCCCTCCCTCTCTCTCCTTCTTTCTCTCCTCAGTTCTCGTTAGCTGGCAATCAGATCGTCTTGCTTGTTTCTCTCTCTCTTGCGCTCTGCTCGCCGTCAGGAGGTTCTCTCGCTCTCTCTCTC